GCAGCTGGGAGACTGTCATTCGTCTATTCATCTTGTGTACTTTTAAATAGTATTGGATTATTGGATAATGTTTTAAGGGGTCCTTGAGTTATAGGATTTCCGAATTGTAATTGTTGGAGAATCATTAAGTAATATTTATTTATTAGTTTTCTTCAGCGGTTTATTTATTCTTTATTATTCATCTTTGTATTATGTGCTTGTTAAATACTTAAATTGTTTTGATATCCCTTGATTTTGTGCGCGAACTTGATCAATCCGTGTTCCAAAATTAGGGGGTATTACATACTATTACTGAAATTAATTTGTTATTAGGCAAGCACTTCCATTAAAATAGTATGTGGGTCCCTTAACCACTAAATGAAAAATCGGATAACCAATATGGCAATAACTTATTCGGTTGGCGAAGTTCATTATTACTATTGGCGGGCAAATCTCATCATTTCCATATCTTTGAAGACAATGCCTTGTCTATCATATGAATTGATTCTCGATTTTGTTTAGCCTTTCTAAAATCACCTAGTGTAGACCACTCCGTTAGGGAGCTGACACTATTAATTTTAGATTAAGTATATAACGTTATTAAAGCTCTAATGAAAAATAAAACATTAAATATCTTGTCATTATAATCTAGACTCTTTAAATCATGCGTAGGGCCTTATTTTTAAAGATCTAATTATAATGAACATTTAATATTTTTATTTTCATGAGACAATCATTCTTGTAATATTAAGACTCTTCAAATCATGCGTGGGGTCTTATTTTTAAAGATCTAATTACAATCGTTTTAATAATGAAGGTCATGGGGTAATGTATAAAACTCCCCGCTCCCACTCAATTTTTAATCATTCATAATTAGGGTTTTCATTTTATTCATTTACATGATATAATGCATGCAAAACGCTTTGATCTTAATCTAATTAAATTTAGAAAATATTTGGACTTCTAAATGATTCACTAATATTTAATTTGAAGCACACTTTAAAAATAATTTACAAAAATAATTTTTCGTTTCCCAATAAGTGCCCTCAAATTAATTAGTAATCAAATCCAATTAATTTTCATAATTTAATTGATATAAATCAAGTCATTTAATTAAATATCATGGATCAAATGCATGAATAATAATTAATAAATAATTATATATTCCATGCATCACATACATCAATAACTGACAGATAAAACAAACAAAAATGGCCAATGGAATTAGCTTTTAATATTTAATGCTCTAAGTATTGCGCGAGGGTCAATCAAAGGCTTGTGAACACTTGCAGAGGCTTGTACGCTGCCCCCATGCGCTATCGAACACCATCGGAAGCCCCTAGGTGCATTTGACGAGCCTGTACGTGCCAGGAAAGCTTTCCAGCGCGTGCCACGCGCTCCCACGCACCTGCATGTGATGGAGGAAGGTTCCTTGCATTAGTCACGCGCTCCCACGCGCGTGTGGGAGTTGCCAGCGCGTTGCACGAGCTGGCACACACCGGTAGGCTTTTGCTGCCAATGCGTGTGTACCTCACGCGCCCTTTTGTTTGTTGGTGCATCAAACGGCTTGATGATGCACTACACAGGATCAATTCCTTCGCCGCATAATGAAGATCAAAGGCTGCCGATGTGGATGCATGTGCACCGCACCGGATCAGCCTCCCCTATTCCGCCGCTGCTCTCGCCGCCAGCGACCCTCCGGTCGTTGGAAAACTGCCGAAATTGCTAAAAATAGTTTAAAAATTTTCCAGAAAATTAAATTTAGCCCAAAAAATTCCAGAAAAATTCCGAAAAAATTGTAGAAAATTTTTGAAGCCTAATTTAACCCTTTTGGAACTTCTTGAAGCTTCATAACTTCCTTTGATGAAGATTACATGGCTTTAAAAATATTTATAATTTGAAATACAATGAAAAAAATTAAATTACATCATTGAACTTTCAAACGGCTAAATCAAAGCCTTAATTACATTCATCCAAAGATAAAATTATATTCAATTAACTTATAAACTTCATCCATGACCCAACCATACATCATCATCCATTCACAATTATACATACATCATCAAATATCAATATATATCAATATATTAATTCATACATCAACATACATCAATAAATAAATATATGCATATCAAAATTGGATCCATGAATGATGAATTTTGATAAAAACATGATCTCTAGTAATGAATCAAACCATGCTCTGATACCACTGTTGGGAAACGTGCAAGATTTAAAAACTTTTTCGAGGGATTTTCATTCACAGATCTTGATTCATCACATAGAAACAAGTTTTATGCAAAAATAAAATATGATGTATCATTCAATTAACAGAATGAATACTTACATCAAAGATTTGAGTAAACCTTAGATCTCTCCTCTAAAGTGAATGTTCTCACTTATTGTAGATCCTTTTGCTAGATGCATTCTCCTTAAATCTCCATCTACTTGGTAATTGTCTTGTCTTTAGGAATCACTCATAAGCCACCATGAACGACCTTAGAAAACTAGCTTGTGGGAGCCTCCATTAGATGAGAACATTAACCCTAATTTTCTACAGAGAAAAAATATATTCCTTTTTCCTTTTTCCAAAAATCACCCCAAAAATATACATAAACCATCTATATATATAGGCAACATAAAGATAAGGAAAAAAAAACAATAAATCCTTCTTAATCTCTAATTCACATGTCTCAAATCTAATAGGATTCCAACATCAAGTTGGGTTATGAGTGAGAATCCTTTGGACTTCTTATGTATTGGCTACAATGAATTAATAATTGGCCCGATTCATGGACCCAATTCAATTAATTCATAAACTAATTTCTATTGCACTAAAAGAAATTAATTGAATTTCAATTAAATAATAAATAACCTCTAAGTCAATATTACACTTTGACCCCTTTATGCATAATTAGTTATCGGATAAATAAAGACATCAATCTGACAACTGAATTAATATATTTATTTTGGTACCTTTGATTATTTCTAACTCGATCATAATAAAACATTTGTTTGACAAAAATAATAATTTAAATAAATATATATATAATAAATTATTTTGTCTAAAAACACACGAAGACCTTCGAATTTAATTTGTGATCAAATATAATCAATACCAAATAAATACAAGTAGCATTGATGCAAATATTGATAATATAATCCTCTGACTATTAATTACATAATTACCCAAAGTGTTGGCCTAAGAATCCGGAAATATCTGCCGAACAAATCAAAGTAATTATTAATTAATAAAAGAGTCTATACTTCTTTCATACTTAAGAGTCAAATGTCATGACGGTGATAGGGAGCAATTGTATACGACGGCTCTCGTAATATATCTCAACCTAGTGCGAATCCAATTCAAACCTTAATTAATTATGAGTCCATCCATAATTACCGATTATAAACAATTTATGATTACAATTTATATTCATATATTGATTGTCATCACATACATATATAAATATATTTTGTAATCAAGTGGACGCTATCAATTCCATAATGAATCGAAACATAATATATTGAATTCACCAATTGTATAAAGTATAAATATTTCAAAAACGTCAGCAATATATGTCACTATAATCTAAATAAGAATTTGTCACATATAAATTTCTAAGGCAGAGTGCCCCGCTAACTTTGAAATATGGGAATCCAAAGAATCAGAAGTCAGTAAATTTAGTGTTATAAAGACGTAGAGAACCCATACAAATTTGGATTAAAAAAAACCCAAGAGGAAGGTATTTTGTCATAGTTTCTTTATTATCAACGTAAACATATATTAATTAATGTGGCGGTGCATAAAATATTACCGTAATTGTTGACCCAATTGTTGAGTTGTACAATCAATATATATTTAAAATATTGTGATAGGCGACTTGTCCCAGTCAGTGTGCGTTTATCATTTTTCAAAAATAAAATATGACTCCTGTTTTGGACCTGGTCGGCCAAAAGATCTTGGGAACTACGCCTTCAATCCAAGCTTCGTGATGCGTCAAAAACAGTCAGATATATATATATATATATATATATATACTGATAATTTAGTAGGATATATCAACAGGTTACATGGTTTTCTCTTCTCGATGGAGCTGTACTCTCGTTGAAGGTCTGGGGTATGTAGTGGACCAGAGCTTGGCCGGGTTAGAGAAGGTGAAGTTATATAATTAATTAGGAATATATATATTTTTGTTGGATGGCGCGCAATTAGATTTTTTTTGCTCATCTATTTGATTCTGATGATGAGATGAGTGATGCTAAAACAATTTCAACGTTGTTCCGGAAGTCAGATAGTTTAGTTTAATTTGCTGCAATTGGAATTAGATGGAAGCTCAATGATTCTATGTTTGAGAGTACGAAATCAAAATTTTAAATTTAGAATTAAAGTAAATTTAGTTTTAAGTTTAAAATGTCCATTCATACTCTCAAAAACAATATTAGCTTAATTTGTAAGGAAATTAGATAGATCATGATAAACTTATCAGTCTGTTGTGGTAAGAGGTAGCTCATTTAATTTGGTTGGTTGGTTCACAGGTCTTTGGGTTAATTTTTGGATATATTATTTTTCAAGTCTCTACGTTACGGATTGATTAAATTATGATGAGGTTACTGCATACATCGATGCATGTGTTCAGCTATATATATATGTAATATAATATATATAGTAGGATATATTAAATAAGCCGTGTCTGTAACTTTCCTCCATTGCTCTTTAAATCTTCTACTACTAGTATTTTTTTCTTTTAAGTTATTCAATCATTATGAGTTAATTTTTTATCATTCGATGCAAATCAGTGAAGAAAGTTAAATTGATGTAATAGTAAATTGTAATTATATTTATTCACCTATTGCACGAAATCCAATTATTATTATTATTATTATTATTTTATAATCAAGTTCGAATTAAGCCCATTTCAAAGATAACAACCAAAGTTCATTCGGGCCTGGGTTTCGCAAAATGCATTTAGACTGTGCCGGGCTGGTGATCAATCAGGCCTTGGTCTTTGGTTCTCAAAATTGCGGCCTGCTAGGTTAGCCGTGTTTAAGGGCACAATCATCCTCATCCCCCCACCTTAAGGCTTTGTTTGGATAGACAATTGCTCTTGTAACATCCGGAAGAAACCATTCTTAAACTTTTTGTTTCTTGTAACATCCGCCCCAGTATCCCTTGCCTGAATAAGGTAAGATCTGAGGATTGAAAAGAAAAAATAAATAAATAAATAAATAAAATAAAATATTAGACAAAAAATAATAATAATAATACTAACTATAATTTATACTCATATTTGAATAGATGGGAAAAACTTTTTTGGTGGGTTAGCAGTGCAAAATCATTTCAGCCTCCCAATAGCCTCGATCTCATTCTCAGCCTCCCCGTCTCTCTCTCTTTGCAACTGCAAAACTATATATATATATATATATAAATATATTCAAAACCCATATACACGAATCAGAAGTTCAAAACCCATATGTATTCCTCTCTCTCTCATCACACTGAACCGTGTGGAACTGAGCTCTGTGATTTTGTGTTTCAATGGCATCTTTAACAGATCTTGCTCGTATGCTTTGCATGCTAGTAACTGAATACCCCGAAACCGACAAAGTAGAGATCATACCGGAGTATTCGGGAGTAATAGACAAAAACCAGGCCATCACTTTAAATAGTCGGAAACCTACCGGAATAGACGTTATGCTATTCCGGGGCAAAAGTGTCGGCGGCGGCGAGGGTGTAGTCTTGTTAATTTACAAGAATGGCCGCGACACAGGAGCGACACTCAATCCTGCTCACTTAATCAAGTACGTTCTAATTGTTGTTAAACCAGAACATGGAAATGTGGCTACGTTTGGAAAGCTAGCAAAAGGCGACTTCTTCAGGCGGATTTCGTAATCTCTCTATCTCTTTTGTGTGCGTGTGTGTGTGTGTGTGTGTATATATATATATATATATATATCATATACTATACATGTGCAGCTGTGCTGATTATGTTCTTTTATATATTTCCTTTTGTTCTGGTTGCATCATCAGCGGGCTGGGCTTCCTACTGCCCAAGGTATATTCATCGAGGCCTCTGGTGCGGATTCCTCAATACTATCAGGTTCAATCTGCTTCATTATATATGATCCACCCAATATCTATCTCTGTATATCTATGGACAAAGTACTGTTTGATTTTATATGTACTCTTTACTCGAGTGACCTATAGATCTCAAAGACCACTAACAGTGACTCACCCAGAAAAAAATTTGACAGGGTGTGGCCACCCCTAAAGGAAATTTTCATAGCTCCATCCTTGATTGCTACAAGTTGTTACGTTTTCTGCTACAAAAGTTTTCATAGCAAAAGGTTATTTTTTTTGTAACATAAAGATTTTTGAGAAAAAAAGAAATGTTAATTCAGTCGCAACAAATTTTGAGTTTTGTCTACAACTTGATTTTGTAGCAGTGTTAAGGTATTTGCTACAAAGATAGGACGTAGCAATTTAACCATTGTCTATGGTCCAATTTCGAAGCAAATAATTTGTTTCAAAAAGAAAATATTAAATTAAATCTAAATTTAAAATCAAAACAAATTCTAAAAAAAGTAGAACAATTGGAAAGCCTTGTAAAAATTTTAAATTTTAATTTATAAGAAAGGTCAACAACAAAATTCAAACTCTGAGAATGATCCCCCCAATGTTCAAACATAGCCCGGATCCTCTCCTCTATAATAGAGATGACCCTCTCCTTGATCCTTTGCCCGAACCTCTCCTTGATCCTTTGCCCAACCCTCTCATCGAACCACCCTCTCGAACCACCCTCTGCTTGATCTCTCCTCCAATTGCTTTGCAACTAGTTGCCTCCGATTTTGTTCTCGTCCATCTGATGAAATGAGCTTTATGCCATACATGAGCCCACAACTGTAGTTAGGTTCTTTCAAGGATCTAAAAAACACCTACTGGAGAACCTGTTTGTATTAGAGCCCCAAAATTCATCCTTTAAACTATGTTTGGTTAGAGGGAAGGACTGAGGGTGATGGATGAGAGGAGGGATGGATAAATACTTTCGTGTCTGGTTGGAGGGAAGGGAAGAAAGGGAGGAAACAAGGAGGGATGCATCCCTCCTTCCTTTATGTTTTTCTATCCGCCCACTTTTGGGGGGAAGAGAGGAGAGAAAGAAGACATAACTACCTATAAATATGTAATTTACAATTTTAACCTTTTCAAAAAAATTGAAATAAATATCTACCTTTTATAGTTTTATATAAAAGGGTGTATTGGTAAAAATAATATAAGAACTCTCCTTCCCTTCCTTTTAACCAAACAAAAAAAAAATATCACTCCATTCATCCTTTCTACTATCCATTCCATTCAACCAAACACAAAATGGGAAAGACACCTTCCCTTCCTTAGGGATATCTCATCCATCCCTCCCTCTATTTCTTCCATCCATTTCTCCATCCCTCCAACCAAACGGAGCATTAGTGTTCTGGCTCAGTCGAGATGAATCCTCTGGGTGACACACAAGCACCTGCTCATTAACCACAAAGATCACAACTTTCAAATTCTAAAAAAATACTATTTATTAATTTACACATTGACTATTAAGGCTACAAAGTTAGCAGTTGAATTTCACAAACTCGGTTTAGGTGTGTGTTTGATGATACGTCAAACAATTATAAAATTCTTACATATTGCTACTCAGTTTATTCTAGCTCTTCAGTTATTAGACATTAATAACTTGAGGTTTATATTCTCAATTTGCTGTCTAAAGTACTGAATTGGTTACTTGATAACTTCAAACACCATGAAATTCTAGTCAATTCATATATAGACAAATGATAAAAGCATCTCTAAGCATCGTCTTTTTATATAGACAAATGGTCATGCTGATATATTCAATTAAGAAAAACAGGACTTCTACCATATTGCAATCTAAAGTGATAATAGATTCATGTTTTACTACTTGTGATAATTATCCATAATTTGACAAAATAACAAGTGTGGAAATCAGAATATAAACAAATATATATATATATATATATATATATATATATATATCTATAGAAAGAGAAGTTATTGGCACTTAATCCTCAGCTATTAAAAGCATTATACAAGACCTTAGCAATAATTGACAAAGGAATGCCTTTTTTCATAATTAATACATTGGATGCAGCGTACCTGCTTCTTGAGGTAGCGAACATAAGATTTTGATCCAGCATAGTGTGGCATCTTTAGACAACTTCAATTCCTGCAATTTATCATTTTTATCATCTTCAAATACATCTTGAAGCCAATTAAAATGAACCGAAGACTGCTGACATGAGTGACATCTTGAAGGTGTCAAGGTTTCCATTTTGTGCTGTGGTTATGGCTGCCACAAACCAGAGGATTGCCCTACTTCAGCAGGTTTGATTCCTAGGGTTCTGACTCATTTTCACGTGTTTTTGCTAGAACAGAAGAACCTAGAATATGCACTCTTCAGTCAACAAAACCTAGCCTTTTCCTTGCTATTTGAAGCAAAACCTGGAATAGATACCATGTTAATAATTGGGAATCATAGACCAGGATATTATGCTGGAAAAAAGGTTGGACTCTGCATTTTTCCAATGTCAATGATGCTTGTTTGACCAACCTAAGACTGTGAGTATGTAGTAAGCGTAACAAAATTGAATGACTTATCAATTTTTTTTAATAATCGACATAGAATTGATTGAGACTCTTTTTATGAGATGATAATTTTTTATGGATATCAATGTAGAATTTTCACATGTGTTGTATGTTTTGTGCCCTTTTATGTTGTGTAATATTCTAATAATTACATGCGATGATGATTTGAAGCTTACTCTGAATAACTATCATGTGCCATACTACTAATTTTGGGTTTCTTAGCTCGCACATGCTCATGTTGCCTTTTGTTGATTGTGCTGTCAACTCAGTTAACTATATTTATCCCCTGTTGATGTTACTTGTGATTTATTTTTCTTTTCTTTTTCATATATATTTGTTTGGCTTTGATTGCACACATTCAAGTTTTATTATTCTTGGTAAGTCATCAGTAAGAGATACCTGTTAAATTCCCCAAAGTTGCTCACCAATGGTTTTATGCCAGCTGGTTTAAACATTTGATTAACTTATGTAATAAAAAGTTCTTTGTACTTTGAAAAATACAGTTCGTTCATTATTAAAGTATAAGGTCTGCTTTATTTGTGATAGAGAAAGTGATATTAGAATGTTGATTTTTGTGATGATGATTTCTTAATTGTGCATAATTAAAAAAAAAAAAAAAAAGGGTTTTATAAGTATAAGAAATAATTCAAGTGACTCAACAAAAGTAAAAAAAAAATCATAATAATTTGATTGCAGGTTTTTGTCTTTGTCAAAACATATTTCTTTTGATAATAGGGATTTTATTATTTTATTATATTTTATTTTTGTTTGTGCGAGTATATGGCCAAAATATTTAGATGCCCTAGGTTTTTTAGTTCATTAAAGATGGTTTAGGATTTTGATTTCACTTGAGTCTCAAGGGGATCTCGTTACAAAATTTGGATTCAACTCTACTGATTCAATTGAACCTTTGCCTACTTACAAGTAACCAATTGTTGCATGAAAAAAATCCTATAAAAGCATGGTGAAGAGTTATTATTTATCTCAAATAATGGTTGAGTTATGATAACCCATTATCTTTTCCCACCCCCTTGGCGAATTTTTTTTTTTAAACTTCATTTGCTAACATAAAGTAAAGAAACTCTAGTTGGGAAAGGGTGTACTTGAGAAACATGTACATTGATAGTGATTCTAAGATGGTTATAGCGGTTTATATGCATAATTATGTATCTCAATCATTTTATTAATCTGCTGCACATACTGATTGCCAGTCTACAATTCCTAGTTTGTTAGATATCATATATTTCCTTGTAAATATATCCACACATCATCCTTAGATTTCCTGTTCTTCTCCTGCTGTTGCTGCATATGATATTATTTGGGAAGTTTTGAATTTCTTTTCTCTTGGTCTAGCAGACATTCTAACCCATTCATTAAAAAATAAAAAAAATAAAAAAAAATAGATTTCCTGCTCTCCTCATGGACTAGTTTAGTTCTATCTTCTTGGAATTCGTTCTCGTGAAAAGAAAATTCTCGTATTGGAGCTCTAGAGAGTAACTTTGGAAGTGATAGTTCAAGCAATCTAATGTTTGTCTTTGATATTTGCAAGATATTGTGTTAGTTTGACTGTGTTATGGCATGTATGTTGATCCTGCAGCCTGTAATATGGCAACTTGCATTGATGATAAACCCAATGTTCTTGCGAGATTGATGGCCTGGTAACCAACAATATTTGATTGAATGAATGGAGGACCGACTGACCAGGGTTTTCTCTAGTATTGATGGGGTTTTCAAGGATACATTATTTTATAAGGATTGTAGAAGCTTGGTTGTCTTGCAAAAGATGACAAGCTGATGCATGGTTATCAAGGGTTTTCTGGCTTGCGGAAAGAAAGAATTTGCTAGGTTATCCTTTTTTTGCAATTAATAAATGTAATGCTAAGATTAGCGTTGGGAGATTCTAGAGGATGCGATTAACGTTGGTAGGTTATTTCAAAATCCATTGCAAATCAACTGATTTCATATCAGGTTCTCCAAAAATTGACGATTTTTCAAACATTAAGAAAATAAAGATTGTAGTCAAAGGAGGTAGCCTTTTAAAAAAAAAAAATGAATTGTGTTGTAGTCAAAGGAGGTAGCCTTGATGTCATTGCGAAGGAGGACAAAGTAATACACGGTAATTGAGGTTTAGTGGCTAGAGGAAGGAACTAATGTTCTTCTTATCTTCTTCTTGTTCTTGTTTTTTTTTTTTTTTTTTTTTTGGTTCTAATAACAAATTTAGCACAGAGATAACTTATTTATTTTATTAGCAGTGGGTGCTGGGAGAAATCATATCAAGAGGTTAGCTTTGTAAAGGTTCCTTTGAAATACTATATGAAGTGGTGTTGTTAGTATTCTCCTTTATAGTCAGTTCGCTAGAAATTGATGATTGTTGAAGCTTTAAGAGATGGCAATGAAATCCTTTGTCCTGGTAGTTTCAGTTTTCCACTATATGTGTAGATTTGGGGCTTGATTCAAGAGGCCCCAATAGTTCCTGCACAGTATATATTATGTGAACTGCATTGTACCTTTATCATATTGATTTTGTTCCTTGGGTGTGTGAATTCAGTGATGTGAGTTAGTTTACTGTTTTGCATCATACTGTTGGATTGCCTTTGCACATGTAACAATAATAGGTTATTAATTTAAATCCTAATTAGATAAAGGGTAGTGAGACCAGGGGTTTCGGGCAATATAGGTACAAAGAACGCAAATGGCTATATCTTATTGAATGGATCTTGGGGTGGAGGAGCAAGTATGTTGAGTGATGCATTTCAGAGGCATCCCCTTTTTATGCTCATTAATGGGATAGAATTTATTTCTTGTTTAATTCTTGGGGATCAAAGCGAAGTGAGACCCTGTTGCCTTTTCATTACATCATGTGTTGGAAGCCCTCACAAGCTAATCCTCTTAATTTTTGCTTTGTTTGAGAACTAAGATCTTATAGGTTCAGAGATTCAATTCACAAATCCCAATGTTTTGTAATGTCATGATTGTCATAACCAATTTTAGGTAATCAAATGTATTTTAAGATGTTTAAGGAACCATTGAGATAGCATTTGAGTTAAAAGTTGGGTATAGGCTTATGGCATAATTCTGGGGTGGGATGTAGAGAATTGGAGCTGTAACATGTACTAGAAATTTAGACATCAGCCTGCAAATTTTAGTTTTCATTAAGGAGTAGCATGGGTTTTGTAACTCTGTTGGCGGAGAGGCATGAGAGGAGGTTAGTGACATATTGAACAAATTAGGCACTTCTTTAACATCTTGTTTGCCTTCATACCCTCTTATTGCCCTTAGCTGGTAGTTTCGATGAGAAAAACACGCATTTGTATCTACGACCATTATTACACATGGTTTTATTTTATCTTTTCATTCCTTAAACAAGATTCATCTGCTATTGGTAAGGCTATAAGCCAGGAATTAGATTTCTCAAACTACTGCCTGCTTTGTTGCTACAATCTGCATCTGCTGCTGCTGCTTTTCTGCATCTGCTGCTGCTGTTTTGGTGGTAGCCATTTTTGACCTGAAGAGATTTTGTTTCGTAGTAAGCAGGTTTGAATTAAATAAATCCAAAAGTGAGCTGGTTTGATGAGGTAACTGACTATAACAAGAGGTGGAATGGCTTTGGATTGGGAGGTATGTTCGTTGTCATCATCATCATCCCTTCTTATTTTGGTTTCCCTCTCCGTTTCTTACCTTCTATTACAACTAGTTTTTCCCTTCTTTTTTTATTTTTTATTTTTTATTTTTTATTTTTTATTTTTTTTTTATAAGTAAATATGTATTAAAGAGTGTTCAAAAGGGGAACGCATCCCACGGAAACAAGAAGACCTAGTAGGGCCTTTAAACTCTCAAAGAGTCCAAAAAATCAACAATCTCATCCACGGATTTACAATTTCTCCCAAGAACCCAACAAAAAATAGTACTAATAATGGAGAATTTCAGCGTGCCAATAGGGGTCTCCTTTCCTTCAAAAGATCGCCTATTTTTTTCAAGCCATAAGTGCCACCAAACGTATAAAGGTTTGACCCTCTAGAAGTCACGAGCTTGGGCCCCACTATACAACCTTTCCAAGCCTCAACCAAATCTCTGGAAGACCTGAGCATAACCCACTGAACCCCAAACAAAGTCAACATCAAAGCCCAACAGTCCCAGGGCAATGCAAAAGAAGATGATCTACTGCTTCCTCATTTATCAAAGACATGCAGCAACAATTGACCACTTTGAGAGGAGCCTTAGATAGCCAAATAGCCTTCCACGGGAGCGCTTCCCTGGAGCCTCTGTAAGACACCAAAAGAAAGATCGAACCTCAAAGCGACCCTGGGGAGATGAATCTACACCATAGAATCAGGAACTCCGTCCACAATCTAGTGACGATACAACAGCTCCAAAAAGCCAATAGCCTCCTCAATATCTCAATCTTGAAAGTTCCTTGCAAAATGCATACCCTAGGACGTTCTCCCACTATCAAGGTGATAGCAGTCAAACACCAAAGCATTTTTTGTCTGTGGCAATCTTGAAGAGTCTGGGACATAATAGGGCGAGAGGACGCTCACCACACCAAATATCCTCCCAAAAACGAATCCTGCTACCATCCCTAACTCAAAACATGATGTTTTTGGCATGCTTGGTTTTTGTATAGACATGAGGTGGATGGTAGAGGGTCTGATTCTTTGGTTTGGGTGCCTTCTCCTCAGGGGAGGTTCAAGGTATGTTCTTTTTTCCTCTGCCTTGCCGGGTTTCATGGTTCCAATTTC